TGATTAATTCACCTAATTTTATGACAAAATCACTTACTGAAAATAACAGGCATTGATAGTAAAGTAGCTATGTCAATCCTAACCTTAAGGATATATGTTACCTGTGACATGAAATTACAAATAATTCCATCCCTAGAAAGCAACAGAAGAATTAGATGGTAAAATTCAATTCTGACAATGATAGTTCATAGTTGTAACTACTCTAAAGTATTCAATGATAGTAAAATATTCTGAAGGGAAAAGACTCTCGAAAGAATGTGTTAGATAGCTTATAACCATATGGTGAGAGAAACTTCCAACTAAAGCAGTGCTACTTAATAAACTATGACAAATACTGACAAAATTCAATACACAATTTTGGAAAGTGGGCTGTTCACATTGACAACATTGACAACAATTTTGGATTCCCTATCTTTTTTTATATTTTTTCACTAGTGTATTCTCCAACAAGAGATTTTTAAACTTCAAAACTAACATAAACAGCAATATATACATGAAATCACATTGATTTTTTTTTTTTTGGAAATAATGTTTCCATCAGAACTACAAAACCAATCTGAAAAGCTCAAAGTCACATTAAGCAGATAAACCCTGTAGTATGTCATCTTTTCCTGAGAAGATGAAAATTAAAACAAGCAAGTGCAGCAATGCATTACTGATCCAAATGATCGAAAATGTTGTAAATAATAGTTAATACAAACTCAAAAATAGGTTCCTCAATATTATATGTACTTAAATGATCAAAATAAGTAATAAATTGTGTAAAAAGTCTGGATAAAGCTTACAATTAACATCCTGCACTGTAAAATATCTGCATATGTTGTCTGTGATATATGCCTTTGATGTATCTGGTGTACCTAAATATTTGTTGTTCAGCAATATAAATGATACACGTTTTAAGTCTTAGGTCCCTGTATAATTTGTAAATTTGAATTTGGGATTTAATGGACAAATGCACGTATCATATTTTAAGGCATTCAACTTCCTGTGCAATATACATGAACAGTTCTATCCATCTTTGATTTCTTTAGTCATGAAATAAAACATCTACTCTCTTTAAGTCTGATTAATATATCAATCATCCGTAAGACTGTGAATCCATAACAGCTTGCATTTGTTAACATTACACTCTTCAACGTAATTAATATTCGCATTTATAAATACTTATATTTATTTTGAACAAAGGTATAGATACACTACATTTTGCCTTAAAAGTAAATCTCTAATGAAAATCTATGTTATAAAGGTCACTGGATCGGTTTCCTGATGGTATACTCTTCATCAAATCTTTATATAAATGTCACCAGCTATAAAGACGACTTACTTCTACTGAGAGGTCTTTATACACAGGAGTGAGACTGTAGTATCCTTTCATCAAGAATGAAATCAAAACAAAATGATCAATCCAGGAAAGAAGGAAACAGAAAGAAGTGAAGTATCCAAAAGAAGTAAGCAGAGAGCTAGCATAAAGCCTGTGGATATTTTGACACAAGGAAGGCATATGTGCTCTGTCCAGCACATGTGTAACATACATAAGTGAATAAACAAACAAGTTATACATGTGATTTGAACATGTGGGATGGCATATGTAGATAAGCACATGTCGAAACACACTTGTGCTTGGGCAACATAGGGGCAAGAATATAAATATGAGTTGAAACTCTTATGACTATGGACAAGACAATGAGGAGATTCTAGGGTAAGCTACAGGCAGAGATTCAGGGGAAGGGAGACAACAAGAAATGTGTCACTCACTCACATATGTCATGCACACAAACATTGGATAGCTACATACCAGTCTAGTTCATGAATATGCAAATCACTTTAAAATTCATCATTAATATGCAAATGACTCTAATTCATCAATATACATTCAAAGCACTCATTAATTCATGAATATACAAATTACTTGATGATTCTCTTCAGGATATCTGGCAGAAATTAAGTTTCAAAACTTAAATAGCTATGAGGTACATATAGTTAAGGAAAAGCTGAACTTCAAGAATTTTGTGAAAGCGAAAAAACAACTTAATAATACATGTATTTAATTTAACAGACTTGATCGTGATTTTATTGGCCATTCATAATCATTGGTCCTATTTTCATTGTCTTGCTATGCCCAGACAGGCCCAGTCAAAGCTCAAACAATTATACCCTGAAGGACTACATCATTTCTATATGGCCATAAAAAAGTTTCCAGTCTCTACTTGAAAAAAATTAGGGTGGGTACATGAAGATTTTTTAGTTTTTCTTTAGTTTTTTTTTCTTTAAATGATGTTTGCTTGCTTTTGACATGATCTTCCAAAGTACCCCCATTTTGATTAGAGAGTTTCTGATACCCATGCATTAGCTATGTATAAGTGTCACATTTGAGTATTATGAGACGTTTATCTAGTCCAAAGGGTTTCGACATTCTATCAGCGACTTTACTTTTGTTTTGGTTCGGAATTCCTCTGTATTTGCATTTGATGGTCCTAGTTCCTCCCTACATGAAAACTTTCACACTCTGTGTATGGATCTTAATTCAGGAAATGTTTTATATAATCTTCAACAGAGAGATTGTTATCAATGACACATCAATGGAAAGATTGAACTTTTTTCTGTGGTCAAATATGTCAAAGCAATTAAATTTTGTAAATTAAGTATTACCAATAAATTTTCCAACAAAACATGAACAAAATTAAAATATCTAGCTTAAACACAATAAAATTATAATTTCATACATAACTGTAAAATGAAGTTGTCAATTATTCAAAGCACATCAGAGTGATTTTGTAAAGGAAGCAGACCAGCTGCATCTTGATCAGTACAACATTATGTAGCTAGTTATCCTCAAATTGAAATTGTTTCAGTGTTTCTTTGACCTTTAAGAATTATATCAATAAATTTCACAAACTTATACTAAATAAGCTTTTAATACCCAAAGTATATCTGAAGTGCAGGATCTGATTGGAAACTAACCAGTATAATTACAACTACTGCCTCAATGTCAAATCAACTTGACAGTATCCTCGAATGTTGTATGCATGATCCCAAAAGTTTTGAACTTTAACTACAGTAATATTTGCAGGCATTCACGAAAAGATTCATTAAATAAGCACACAAATTACACATAACTTACAAGTTTAAGTACAAAATTTGGTGATTTTGTCTCTGAAACAATATAAGTATCTTTCTCTCAAAAAATATTACTCTTCTTTTTAATTTTCACTATTACTTTCTAATTTGTGCTAGGGACATAATGTCCCATATTCAAATGGAGTGAACTCAGGTGCATTTTAACAAAGTGCTCATATTTCTAATCTTAATAACATAGTCATTGTGGCCACAAAAAAGAACTGCAGCAAAACAAATGGAAGACCAGAATTTTTTTTTATCAAGCTTCAAAATCATTCTGGTGTTTAAAGGCAAATGAAAATCAACGGGATTAATTTAAAACTTGAAGGCCTCGTGATATAACTTAGTGGGAGATTATTTGTATAAATTAGCATCAATAAAGGATACATTACCATGGCAATAATAAAAATAATTAATTGTTAACATGGTCCTTCTGGCGATCAACTTATGGAAGTAAAAGGCAAGAGTTTATTTCAAGTACTATTCCTGATGTCTTGTATCGCAAAAAAATTTTTGATATGAGAGGTAACATTTTCTTCGGAATCTTTCTCAAGTCCAGATAGCTATAATGCTTATGCATATACCCGATCAATTTGAACAGTAATCTGTTTGATTTGAGTTTGCTTTTACAAAGACCAGCTTTCTTTTCTAAAGACCAGCTTTATTTGAAATTTGTTCAAAGACCAGCTTTAATCTAAAGTCCAGCTTCATATATTGCTTCTATGGGCAAAGACCAGCTTCTGACAAAAGACCAGCTTTATTGAACCTGATTTTATGTTGATACAAAATGTACCAGCGTTGAGAAAAGGCCGGCTTTGTTGGTCTTAAGCCAACTTTACCAATTGTTTTGTTGTACATTAAACAAATGGAAGGCCTGCTTCCATCAGTACATACCCTGTACCAGGTACTTGTGCGAAAAACTGAAAGTCATTATTCTTTACTCTAGGAGCGTATGATCCTAGCAAATAGTAAATTTTGACAACAGTAATTTATTCAAATGTTAAAAATATTTCACAAGAAAAAGGATCTATTAATCTACATGGTAGCCAACCCATACAATGGTTTAATTTAACATCCCTGAAAATTTTCCTATATGCCTATACATTTTATAAAAAATTTCAAGAAAAATGAAACCTAACTTATCAAATTCCTTTCTATTATCGATTTGTCAGATTAGACATGATGACAGAATACACAGGATAATGGAATACACAGGTTTTATCCAACAGTTTTCACAAGAAATGGGATTACAGATATACTGGATTAGGCAGACATGTCAGGTTACTAAAGTGTCAGATCCGACAGGTTTCCAAAACTCAGATATGATGGTTTTCTTCTATAGTTTCTTCAAATGATGACTCACATGGGAATGAGGTAGCAGGATTCATAGTTTGATCAGACGTTACAAAGACTGAACGGAGCAGGGAAAAGTAATGTTTACTATGAAGAAATATGGTGCTGATGAAGGATGACAATTAGTTTACACTGTAAATCATAATATGAAGAACTGTAAAAATACAAATACTATTCAATAAACAAAAAAACATTTACAAAACATTGCTGTAAACATTCTGGGAAACAAATCTGTAAGTTTCCATTCAGCACAGCACTAAGTTCAAATCACCAAAAAAAAAAAAAAATTTTTAAGAAATATGTAATGTTCCCCCATTAATCTCTAAAACATGCATTAAATTAGCGACATCAGAGGGTATAAATGCATGTGTAACATATACTTATGTTCGACCACAAAGAACACTGATGTTGTATCAGGCCACGAAAAAAAATTAACAAAACTTAGACATTTCATATGTGCAGAAAAACCTGTATTGTTCTTTTTCTGTAAATCAAAGCAGACCAAAATAAACAAAAAATATTGACTGAATTACAGGAAGTTTTAAATTCTTGTAAAATGACATTAATCTCCTATTTGAAGTCTCATAGATGACAAGATTAGTTAATAAGATCCAATCAACAGGGACTACACAAAAATCCATTACAAGACATAAATTAGTGTGACGTTATCATCATTTTAATGATCATTTTTTCTGCTTAGAGAACTGTGTTACTAACCAACACCCCCTCCCCCTCCAAAAAAGACAAACAAAACTTTTTTTTAGCCGATATGAATTCATTGGACATTCCACTTTTGTTGTATCTATATACAGACCTATATATAGCTACCTTCTCCCCCCTCCCCAGATTTTAAACCAACCTAACAGTCATTACCTGGCAGTAGTGATTATAAAAAGAACATGACAGGCTTTACTGCACAGCTAATACAATATCATGCTTCAATATTTAAAAAAAACTATATATCCATACACTTCTCACTGTTATATACCTTGTACACACCATATCACGATAACCTAGGGGAGACAATTCATGGCAAGTCAGAGCAGTGTAATCAGCACATCATCCACACACACTGCAATTCGAATCCTCGCAACGAGAGTCCGCATTACACACCAAGACTAGAATACATAACCCATAATGGGCTCGCTACTTAACTACACCGACGGGGATCTTGTCCCCTCAATACAACAATACATGTCCACTTCACCAATGAAATCCATTGTTGCAGTTACTGATAAGCAACAACATTTATCCTTGAATTATGAAATCTTCCAATACGGTGAACACTCGCAAAAAATGCATACTGCATCTGTTCTATGAAGGAATTTTACTTGTACACCTGAAATTAACATTCAACAGAAATTATATTTTTGTTAACTAGTCATCAAATTATTTTCTTCTCTCTATTTCAAAATATAGTTTTCTCAACCAATGAAATTCACCAAGACATTTCAACAATATGGTGGTTTGAAGAAGTCACCTAAAATGCCATTGGTTAATCTAACAATACTAGTACTGGCCTGCAGGGGTAGTGTTCATCAATACCAGCTAATTCTGGATGACTTTGACATGAAGCCACATGGGGAGTGTGTTGTAAGTGTAGCTGCACGATTCTATACAGGGGAGACTACTGACGGTAAACTCTTAGTCCAGTCCCATACAAATTCTGAGTCAGTCATATCGCTACTTTTTTAAGTCATTCCTTCAAAGGTGCCCTGTTGTCTACAACAAAACTGTTCTACATTCACAATAATACTCGCATCACAAGTGCTTTGACTGTCACTGGGTATCACGATGAACTGCAGAAACAAGATACGCTTCTCAGGGTACCAGTATTTTACAACAAACACAACGGTGCACAGGAGATTCGTAGTCGTCAGTGAGTGTCTCGATGCTGCAAAATAAATAAATAACTTCAGAAAATTTGTAGAAGACAGAATATATTAGAATAAAAACCATACCTGAACCTGTAAACCCTTACTTTTTTATTGTTAATCAGTGATGTTTATTCATGTTCATTAACCCCAACTGATCCGATTTTTGTGAAGAGTCGTTCAAAAATTAATCAAGCATATGACAACTATAATGCTTACAATGGTAACAAGGTTTTAAGATAAAATTCAATACACGTATTGGCCTTTTGAAAAGCTAACCCAAAATCTTTGTTATATGGTGTAGATCTACTGATATATGAGATAATATACCCTCTGTCGCCTGAAGATTCTGTCAAGGAGCCCAGTGCGGTGTGGAGGAGGAGGTTGGTCCTCCATCAGGTCGGAAGTGGGACTGTCATTCTCACCAAATGTGTTCAACTCCTTGAAGCACTCAGTCTCGATCATCTGTAGAGAATTTTTATCCATTTATCTAGTAGGAGTTTTATTACAAATACCAGAAAAAATAGCAATGGCAATCATGATGTAATCAATGACATTGCTTCACCATTTCCATAATCAGTCATAAGATCCCTATAAATGCCAAATGGTGTTTCTATGGAAGATTTTACTGATATTTGCATCTTTTGACAGTTACAATTGATGTCTTTGCTGTCAACTCATGATCTACAGTATTCCATGGGACTTACACCCTAAAGTATCAATTTGCTAACCAGGAAATATTTCAGGTATAAGCTATAAACTACAGCACAAACACCTGACCAGGCAGTTCAATATTTTCCCAGAAATCAGAATAAGAAATTATTTTTCTTTTCAGATTTCCAATATACATCACTATTTTGCAATTACTTGTAATTCCTTATTTCATTTTTTTTGCACTGAACTCTTTTACATCCTGGATTGCAGTTTCTCCTCCAATATCATATTTTTTCTACATGGTTTATCATTGTTAAGAATTTCTTACATCGAATGTGTAAAAATGAATTCCTAAAACAATTACAATATTTCTTCCATTCCTACTTGGACAGATGTTCAATACAATCATTCTAAAGACCATGAGCACTACATATTACCTCATTCTGCCAAGGAATTGACACACTTCCTGTACTAAAATTGCTATAAAATCGATCGTCACTGGGGTCAAGGTTCACTCCCTTCACTGTTGAAAACTGCTCAATGTCAAGGACATCCTTGCAGTATACTGCCCTCCTCTGAAAACAACAAACATAACAGACATTTACATCCTCACTTCAAAAAATAAAGACGCATTTAAAATGTGTGCATTTTTTTTTAAGATTACAACATTTTGCCATGAAATTGGCAATTTTAGTAAAGCACCTTCACAAGATTCCATCCATGAAGAGCATCTGATTCAACCATATCTGCATGTTGAGAAAATTTTTGAAATTTGGCACAACGTCAGAAAAAGGCAATCGCGATAGGTTACCATAAGACTAAGTCTAAGGTGACATAAGAAGTTGAATATCTCAGTGCATAAGTACAAAATGGTGAAGTTCATATCAATAGCAAATCATTAAATGAAAATTTCTCCACTCAGGGATCTTCACAGCTTCAAATTTCACTATAGAAGAAATTCGGTAATGAGATTTTCCCATAGAAGTTTTACATGTTTCATCTATCTGACCATATTTACTACAAATACACAAAGAAAAATAAGTAATAATGCTGATTTAATAGAATTCACATTAAGAAAGTAATTATCCATATTGTGAATGTCTCCAATGGGTTTTAACTATAACGTTACATGGAGTTTAAGGATCATAATTTAATCATTTATATCAAGTAATAAGTACATGTTAATGGATACAAGACGTAATTCTAAGTCAAAGTGCCAGTATACTTTGTTCTAAATGTATATGTTAGTAAAAATAGAATGAGAAATCAGGTAACGTTTTTTAATGAGATTACAACTTGTGTACACTTGTAATCACTGGTGATGTTTCTCTATTAACAAGTGCTAATAACACTGTAAATAAAGACAATCTGAGAATAGTTACATTAATTTAAACATTAAAATCCTACTCAATGAAAAAAATCCTTCAATCATCTCTTGGATGCCTAAGGACAGGATTTTTTAAAATAACTGCTGACATGCTAACGAAAAACAGTGCCAACTGATATCAAAAAGTGGTGCTCACAACAGAAATCAAACACAGTCAGAAAGTCAGGAATATTGACCAGGTATGGCAGATATTCAAATCCTTCGCCTTGGATGCTATCAAAACCGAACCACAAGGCCATGAATTAATTTGGAGATAACTACATGGCTTCATCAGTCCTCATTTTGATCTACACTTGCTGTCAATAAAGTGTTGAAAATATTTCAGTCTATGAACAAGTAATTCACTGACCTGTGTTCCTCAAATGACCAACAACAAACTAACCAGTCATGACCAAACAACCCACTGGAAACACCAACAGAATTTAACAACGAAGCTACAGAGTTTTATTAGGGTGGGTTACGATATACCATTGTAACCTGGAAGTTAATATAATCTCTCCCAGAATATATTGTGATAGCCTAAGTAACACCTCTGTAAATGACTCATGCCATTTCAAAATCTTGAAAAACATGATCGTGTTGATGAGAAAGTATTTCATTATTTTTATGTTTAGTTGTCTGTTTCACTATTTTGAGAATGAATATTTGTTCATTTGAGAAATTGTTTCATCAACTTACTCAACTATAAATGTTATGGATTTTATCCTGGAAGATTAAATTTGAGCAAACAGTTCTCAACCTTTGTGTTTAATTTTGTACTTTCACTTTTCAACTACTGACGTCTTCTCAAAATACATGTTCATATTCTGTGACATCAGGTGGTAACTGATAGTAATTTGACTTCAACATTGGCATAGAACATCTCCAAAAGCAGAAACGTTATCTTTTATGCTGATTGATCACATGTAAAACAGTCTACAGCTGTGTCCCTTGTTGGTGTTGTCAGGAATGTCGCCATAGCTTTAGCCGATTGTCAAACTTTGATCCTGACCAAAAGGACAACAATTAGTTGTCTGTGAGCCATTTACAGAGGTGTACTGTGACTGCTAGGAAATGACAACAGTGATAGAGACGGAGTTTAATGGTGGCAAAACTTCTATCGTAAAAAAGGCCATGGAAAACAGTCTGCTACAACAATACATTTCTTTATCGTTTTTGTCTTCTCCATTTCCCTTAATTGTTTTTAGGTAAAAGTTTCCCACACATAACACACCAACAAAACGCTAAATTTCTACTCTTCCATTAATTTGTTATCATTAATCTAATATATCAAATCTCCACAGAATAAGACTGCTGTTCAGCAAATCACAGAACATCAGGTGAAATGTATTCTTTCCAATCCTACCTCTCAGGTTATTAAAACAAATTTTTCACTTCACTTCTGAATTCTAATTAAAAACCAAATCTGAAACCAAAAGCATTCTGGACCTCAAATACAAAACTTACATCTGGTACAAAGGGGGGATCACACACACCAGCTTGTAACCGTCGAAAGTTGATCGTTTTGAAGAATGGATGGCTTTTCACCTCTTTGGCACCATTTTTTCCACAAGTACAACCCAGTCTGAGGTTTGGGTCTTTTTGTAACAGCTGTGAAAATATCATTCACAAACCTCAAGCTCCATAACCAAGCAGAATGAGATCAAAATATGCATCAAAGCTTCAAATATTGTAAAAACATCATCTGTTCACTGTTTCCAGCCAGATTTTTTCCTGTTTTTTTTTTAACCAGAAATTTTCCAATATATTGTAAGTATTGTCTTTTGTTACTGTTTCTCAAAATAAAATATATACAGGTTTGTACAAGAGTTCCCATTTGATATTGTGATTGATGAAACAAACCTTCAAAAAATTTTTCAATGTTTGATGAGCTAAACTTACAAATTTGCAAGAAGATTCACAAATCACACATTAAATGGAAACAAGTCTTAAATTCCCTTTTTTCACATGATCAATTATTCAGGAAAATGTTATAGAAAATTGATATCTCTTATCAAACTTGAAGTCATTCGAGCTCTATATCAGTGGTCTACTTTGTTACATCAAAATGCAATCCGAGTACCTGACATCACAATATGTTATATTACACATGTTTAATATACAAAACATATTACATAATTATATTCATTGAACGGCAGAATAAATTGAGAATTCATCATCTTTAAAGGGTGTCATATATACACAAAAAGTATCTTATCAGATCAATAAGTCCACTAATATAACAACACATTTCTGATGACATAGATCTTTTTTTATACTTCTAAACTAACCAAATAAGACTTACGAGAAATTATTTTTTCGAAAGTGAAAACATATCAATATTGACATGACAATATTGTATCTCACTTTTCATTCTAGGATATACAATGACACCATCAAGAAGAAAGGTAACTCACTCGAGTATACAAGCTGAGTATTGACAGTTCCAGGTAAATAAGTGACTCATTCATGTACATGCTGTATATAATGGTTCTGAGTCAATAACTGACTCAACTGAGTATGATACTATTACAAGTCAACAAGTGACTCATCCGAGTACGAGGTGACTAGAGTATGATTCTGAGTTAATAACTGACTTACCTGAGTACATATATCCCTGCAGTCCTCTGAGAATTTGGATGAGTACACCTCTCGGTCCTCCCTAACACGACGATCTACTTCATCCCTTTTTACCTTTTCTTTCCTTGCCCGGAACGGACTCTGAAAACATAAAGAATCACCTGACTATTCATACATCTCACAATGAGATACTACACAATCTTTAACATAGATGGCCATGGTAGGATACCCCAATTGTTGATAAAAAGGCAAGGGGTCACCTGATCATAATCAGTACAGCTATATTAATTTGTACCTTGCCCTCGATCATTTCATATATGATACAGCCAAGTCCCCACCAGTCTGGGCTGAAGGAGTACCGCTCATTTTTCACCACCTCCGGAGCTGTAAAATCAAAATTTATGTTATCATGATTTCAATGATTACTGCAAAAATTTTGGTGCAATCAAATTTAAGCATTATATCAATTTTAAACAACTAAGCACAATGATGAATTTGGTCATTCAAACAATAAGCACAATCATATTTTAGCACAATATCTTCAGCAGTAAGATCAGATAACCAAGAAAATATGTACATTCACAGAATTGACTTTTTTTTATCTGAATTCATCCTTTGCTGATTTCACAAATCATGTAAATTTAATGTATGTTTTATATTTTTCATCTTTTATCAACTAAAAGTTTTTTCATCATGAATGAAGTATGATCTTGTGCTCCAAGAACATTTTTACAACCATAATCTCTTCAAAATCCATAATTTTCCCCTTCACAGAGAAGCAGCAACAGACTTTTAACTTACCCAAGTATACTACTTTACTAAAAACACTAATGATTTCCCCATCTGGTAACCCACACTTCATACAGAACCAAGAAAGGGGTTTTACTTTCCCTCAAGTACTTCAGAGACCTTAATCATCTTTTCAGTGAAACACTCTTTACAGTGGGTCCTTTACAGTGAGGTCCAAAAGGGGTTTCCCTTACCCATGTATCCTACTGTTCCAACACGGCCTTTAATGGTTTCCCCATCTGGTACCTCCTCTGCAAGTCCCAGATCAGAAATCCTTAAGTGACCTGTAAAAAGGCAAAACAGTGATTCTAGTTTTTGCTTATAGTTAGCAAATTGTTTTAAATTACAAAAGTTGTGGTATTTTTATCATTAACTTGATAACCTGGTAACATTTTTTCTATCCTTTAACAAATAGGTCTGAATAACATACATAAATACTGTACACTTACCAAAGTCATCCAGGAGAATATTTTCAGGTTTCAAATCTCTGTAATAAGTTAGAAATAAGAATTAGAATGTAAATTAAGTATTTGATTTCTATAAATTTACAACTGTTTCTGAAAGTTGCTGTAATAGATCAAAAGAATGATCAGGTAAAGGCCTAGATACTTTTTTATCTCATATAATTATGGGTAATTTAAATTCATCATAATAACACCAAAAGAAAATGTGTAAAATTCTCTTTCACACTTTGAGATATATATATAGATATACATGTATAATCATGTGTATATACCAGTGGATTTGTATTATTTTCCTTTTTCTTGTAAAAAATATTACCTAGATAATTAAACCATATTTTAGTAATAATTTAAATAACATCATACATATATATTTGGGGTTTTTTTCACCTTTATTTTTGTTATTAATGCTGTGAGTAATCATGGAATTATTTTTCATTTAGTTACAAATTTCGTTATTCACAACGTCAGAAAATTCATGATAGTAATGTTTGTGCAAGACAATCAATGAATAACATTTCTAGTGCAAAGGACAAATTCACACAAGGAAAGGAAAATGTATATAACTTTTTAAAAAAAAGTCTATCATTGTCATCATATTGCTTGTTTCTTTATACATGACTGCTTACCTGTACACTATCCTCTTCTGCTGGAGGTCCTCTAGACCACATGTGATCTCGGCCGCACAGAAGACAGCCCGCTCCTCCTCAAAACCGGGGTTCCCCATATTATGAATGTGGAACTTGAGGTCACCCCCATTCATCAGAGTTAATACTAGACATAATGCCTCTTTGGTTTCAAATGCATAGGCTAGGCTAACCTAGGGAAGAGATACAAAATCTATATAGACTAGGTTAACCTAGGGAAGAGATATAAAATCTATTAGACTAGGCTAACCTTGGGTAGAGATACAAAATCTTAATAGGCTAGGCTATCCTTGAGAACAGAGATACAGAATTTTAATAGGCTAGGCTAACCAAGGGAAGAGATAAAAAATATATATATGCTAGCCTAACCTTGGGTAGAGATACAAAATTTTAATAGGTTAGGCTAACCAAGGGAAGAAATATAAAATCTACATAGGCTAGGCTAACCTTGAGAACAGAGATACAAAATCTATATAGTCTAGGCTAGCCTGAGGAAAAGATACAAAATCTATACAGGCCAGGCAAACCTAGGGAAGAGATAAAATATCTTTATTGGCTAGACTTACTTAAGGAACAGGAAAAAAATCTACATAGGCTAGGTTAACCTAGGGAACATAAACAATATCTATATAGGCTATTTAATATCTTCAATAACATAAATGTTGTATAGGATAAGGCTTGGAGGTAAGAAACAATGTGTAAATTTGGTCACGTTGAAAACTGAGACAATCTTTAGTCAGTCAGAAACTCAGACTCGCTGCTATCAAAGTGGACTTATGGGAATTGATTTTCAACATCAAATATTTATTGACTTGAAGATAAATTTTGGTAAACGTAGAGACAATGCTGAAATCCTTTCAGACAATGATTCGACTTCAACAGTTTCTTAATGTAAATGACAATGTGGGATAACCCACATCATGAGTGTTGACAGCAGCACAATCTCAAGAATGTACATTGGTGTTATAAAAAGAAAAACTTTGGTTGGTGTAAGGGAGATAACTCTATCAAAATCTGACATCACACAAGTTATGAAGTGTTTGAAGTATACAAGAAGCTATAAAACCAACATAAAGTGACAGTAATAAAATCTTTATCTTTGCCACCTGGTTCTCATAGGTTATGTATGATAATCACACATAGCTTGTTACACACTAGTATTAGTCAGCCGCTAATACTTTCTGTTTAAGTTGTAGCCTAAAAATGATAATGATATACTTACAACAAACCGTGAATTAACTTTTTGTAGAATTTGCTTTTCATTGAGAGCCATCCTCTCGCCATTCCGCTTCTTTATCCTTTTCTTTTCCAGCTTCTTACATGCATACATTTTACCAGTAGCCCTCACTTGACATGCACACACTTCCCCAAACCCACCCTTCCCCAAAACCCGGTACATCCGAAATGTGTTCTTGGTTACAGGTTGTCTGAAATATAAAATCAGAAATCATCACAAACCATTCCAAGCTCTTTCCTTCTTTTTAATGTTTTTTATAAGATTGAAATCCAGAAGCCCATTTCAAATAAAGCAACAAAATCAAAATTAAATGTTTAAAAACAAACATTATTTCCTCCTTAAATAGGAAGAATTACAGTTTCAAACTCTCATGGAATGCTCTTTAATAACAATTTTCTATACTGAATTATCACATTCCGCATTTCGATTTTTGAAACTTGGTTAGATTTACCTCCCTTTGCCATTGCAAATTTTAAGAAAATCCTTTATTTAACAGTCGTTTTCTGTACTATATAAATCAATAGAGTCTGCAAACTTGTGTGAAGTATTTAATATATTCTTCATTTCCAACAATACTGTACACAGCTCTACAGCCATCATTTAAATGCCTGCAAGGACCTTAGTGTTTTAACTGAAATATGTGAGAGAGATAATGGAGGCAAAAACATCAAAAAAAGAGAGTTATAAGAGACAAAAATCAACTCACCCTTCAAGCCATTTCCACTGTAGGTACCGCTTAAAATACATACTATCTAAAAACTCTCTGAATGGCTCTCCATGTAAATATTCTAATATTATCCTGGAAAACAAAAGGTTTAAATACTGATTAAAAGAAATGATGATCTTTTTAGGAAAAAAAATATTTACGGACTTTAAACAAAATTTTTAATTACATTTATATATATATATCCCTTAGGGCTTTCTTCCCTAAATATACCAAAATTACTTATTGTTACCCACTGATTTATTACATGCGTTTAGATTTTAAAAAGATGTGTTTGAGAAACACTCGAGGTTAAGCACGAAAACATAAAACATGAAAGCTAGGACATTCAACTGAAAGTCATTTTTGTAATACACCACAAGAGAGGGTGAACAAAGGTGATCCAATCAAGTGAAAGGTCACTGGAATGCATGTGCTAAATAGAAAACTGTTTTCTAAAAGGGTGTAAGATGCTGATTGTCATGGCGACTATGGGACACACTCTACAAATTAGGGAAAGTGAAATGCAACTAACACATGTATCAAAGTCCACCAAAGGAAAGGAGAGACTTGTAGATTTTACCCCATTTCTATTATTTTCATGACTTAAGTCCCGTAAATAAACACAGATTTTAACCAATATTGATTTAATTTAAGTCCCATAGCTCTGGAAAATAGTCACAGATTTTAACAGATATTGATCTAATTTAAGATCTTAAAAAAAAAAACATTGAAAATTTGGTTCATGTCTGGAAGTGAAAATTTAAGTTATTTGAAACAAAAATAATATATTTTTTTAAATTCTGTAACTCAGATAAGTCTCGCAGATTTTGACCAAAACAGAACTAATTTGATATAAAGCATATTAATTTGATTCTAATCTTAATGTGAAATTCCAAACTTATTTGTCAGAAGCAAAGGAATTATCTAACTTTTTTTTAATCTGTAAATATGGCATCAAATATCAAAGTCAACTATGATCACAATATAAATCAAAATATCAAATTTGGTACAAATTGGACTGTAAAAAAAGATATCTGACAGAAACAAAACAAAAATTTCTCTTTCAGGGATTTAAGTCCATTATCTCTCACAAATGTTGACTGATTTTGACCAATGATAAATTAATAAGAGATCTTATTGATATAAATCAATATATAAAAGTTCAGATCAGACAGTAAAAATAAAGTTACTCCCTGGAAATCCTAAAATAGACAAACTGGACAAAAAACAATATGTTCACTGTTCTTCAATCTCAGGGGGCATAAAAAACATTGTCTGAAGTTTTCTCCACTGGTTTTGGATTGTTCATCTTTGCCTCATTTTAGGAATAAAAATGTATTAAGAAAGAACTTTTCAAGATTAAATTGCTAATTTTAGGAATTTTGCCGACATTTGAAATAATTGCAATTGTAAATTGGACCCTTAATCAGCCCCAAAAAGACATAAATTGTTTCCTTGAATGTGGAAAATATTAAATACCACTAAAAGCACTTGGCTTTTACTCAAAGATACCTCTCATAACTTCCAGTGTTTCAGTATATGAACACTTGTAATGCAACAGTGTATGCTTTCTAAGACACAAATTTGTCATTTCCAAAATATAAGTACAATGGCTTACACATTATTGATGTTATCTAAACAAAACAAAAAGTTGAAACACTTCAGTTAACTTTAGACAATTATCATGATTATTATTATATATTTGATTACGACTAAATATAAATCTCTATATAAGCCAATCAGAGGCCAAGGTAGCCATCTTGAATATCAAATCAGCCTGAATCAGAAAATTAACAAGCAAATATTGTTCATTTATAAAAAAAAATTCCAGTGATACAGTAATAATCCATGCATCCAAGAATCATAAAATTTACATCAGGGCTTCGAAAAAATAATACCTAAAAGGAAAATGTTCACAAGTATATCTATTAAATATCTATTGATGGGATATTATCCTGAATGTGATGGTTTTATTGCCGGGAATAAAAGGGCGTTTTTTTAATAATACTGCGGAAGTAATTACAGGTGGACTTATTTCCAGGCTCATGGACAAATACGGTAATCCTAATTTGAACTCTTCATTTCAGTTGCCCCACCAGTTAAAATAGAAAAGTCACATTTTTTAATTACACCAAACTTAATTCCTTTATTCCAAGAATAATCCTTGTGAAATTTAATCAAAACTTGTTAAGTCTTTCAGGACAAGTATTATAAACTACATATTTTTGAAAGGAAGAATTTGATACTATTGGCTGTATCTTGGTATATGACACACTTACTGATAAGGAACTGATAAACTCATAAAACACAAGCATACCCATATGAACCTATTCTCATTTGCTAATAGAAACACAACTTCAATCATTTTTGGCCTAATAGCTCTAAGTAATTACCCTCAGCTTGCGACAATGACGTCATTCGGATGTAATATGGTATTAGGGAACCCTTACAAAACCACCAAGATGATTGAACATGTTTTCTAACCATCCATACAACACAGAGCATAGTAACTTCCAATAATTCCAATAATTGTCATCACACAAACATGATATTGCTGATGAACAAAAGATTCTAAAGGAAATAGAAGTCTATCATTAAGACTAGGATCATGACCTATTGATACTAATTTGGTCTTTGAATTTTAATGCTGAGCTGAAATATGAAATATTTCCTTAATCTGGAAATTTTCTGCCAGTTTTGAAAATTTTAAGTAATAAACATGCTAACTGCAAAAATTCAAACTCTGAGATAATGAGGCAAGTGTGTATTTGATGTTCTTTCACATCCAAATTGCAAATTTTTCATTCATTTAAATATAATGTGACAACTTTATTAGAAAATTACAAAGAAAATTTTGACCTGTGAAAAAGATCAGCTACTCAGTATCGTTAAATATTTTCCATTTAAGATATGGCGGTGACAACTTACTGTGTACATGTGTTAAACAGTTCTTTCCCTGATGTGTTGTCCGAGATCGACTCTTTAATGGCGGTGACATGATTACCGTTTATTTGACTGACATAATCTGGAGACTGAAATATAACAAGAGTAATCATGGTAGTACACAAGTATTAATACAATCATCAATATTTTACTGTTACAAAAAAATCTTTATAAAGAATTAATGAATATAGGACCCTGTAGCTTCACAAATGTTCTAGACATTTTTCCTCTGGAAAGTAATATACTTTACAGTGAGCAAGGCAAACTCTTACACAAGGTATTCTTTTGAAATTGCAGTTCATGTGAGTAAGCAAACTACCAGGTTAGGGACCTCTTAGCTCATGTGTGTGTGTGTGTGTGTGTGTGTGTGTGTGTGTGTGTGTGTGTGTGTGTGTGTGTGTGTGTGTGTGTGTGTGTGTGTGTGTGTGTGTGTGTGTGTGTGTGTGTGTGTGTGTGTGTGTGTGTGTGTGTGTGTGTGTGTGTGTGTGTGTGTGTGTGTGTGTGTGTGTGTGTGTGTGTGTGTGTGTGTGTGTGTGTGTGTGTGTGTGTGTGTGTGTGTGTGTGTGTGTGTGTGTGTGTGTGTGTGTGTGTGTGTGTGTGTGTGTGTGTGTGTGTGTGTGTGTGTGTGTGTGTGTGTGTGTGTGTGTGTGTGTGTGTGTGTGTGTGTGTGTGTGTGTGTGTGTGTGTGTGTGTGTGTGTGTGTGTGTGTGTGTGTGTGTGTGTGTGTGTGTGTGTGTGTGTGTGTGTGTGTGTGTGTGTGTGTGTGTGTGTGTGTGTGTGTGTGTGTGTGTGTGTGTGTGTGTGTGTGTGTGTGTGTGTGTGTGTGTGTGTGTGTGTGTGTGAAGCACTGGCCTATGTAACCTTGATTGAAATTCTTTCAACAATCCCTACTCATGGCAGTGTGTGTTAATTGGAAGCTCAGAATCAGACAAGTTTGTGTTGACGTGGGTAAGACACTTTAATTACTCTCTATGGCATGCAATGGGTCTCCTGCATGCTGTTCAGTAACACAGTCACCAACTACTACATAGAGACCCAACCACATTATTAACCTGGCTGTTCACAAGGTGATGAACCCAGCAAGCAAACACAAATGTGTTTGGAAATAGATGACATATCTGGAAATAGGGATCAAATGGGATAAGGTATCAAGGGGGGGGGGGGGGGGGGGGGGGGGGGGGGGGTAATATAGAATTGTACAAGTCCTTGAATGTATCATATTGTACTTTTTATGGGTATTACTGAAAATACAACACATAATGTTTAGTTAATCCCAAAATGTGCCAAATACTATCCTTACATCATAAAATTTGAGACATTCAAATCACTTTGCCTGAATATGATTTTAGAACAATGACGGCCAAAACTGGTTCCAGAAGTATTCCCTTGAACCAAATATCTCCAATACTTGTTGAATTATCTCAAAATTATATCACGGATATCTCTATGTAAGTCAACATGATCTGAAAGGAACTGCATGGCTTATAAAAAAAGACTGCAATAATGAAAAAAATTCTGAGATTTTCCCCCTAGATTTCATAAAAGAGATAAAACATACAGAGCATGCTTACATCCAGACCTCAACTAAAACCCATGTGTAACATTAGATGAAGAGTATTGCGATCTGTCAGTCACTTATCCTGCTCCACATAGAGATAGCCCTGGCAACTCCAAATCTGATGATTTAACTAAAGCCTTTTAGTATTATCTTTCTCCCAAAATTATCTCCGATCTCAAGTATTCCCTGCCAGCAGTATTTCCTATTTTTATCTATATGACTTCTCATCTTCTTTCTTGAACTTTCTTCTCCCCAACTTGTCTAAAAAAATTTGAAAAGACCAAAAGTTTGCCTGTGCTATAGATTTAAAATTATATACAGTGAATTTCAGCTGCACTTTTAAAACCTCCTTTTCTCCTTATATTTTTAATCTATAGAACAATGGAAACTTTAATGTCGGAACTATATGTTTTTGGAACTATCTTCCCTCTCTCTCTCTTTTTCTTTTTTAAATCTTGACTGCCAAATGCAACAAATTATCACGTGTACAGAGCTGTATGATAAAAATTAAAAAAAAAAAAAAAAAAAAAAGAATTAAAAATATCATAAGAATCTTTTTTTTGGTTTCAACTAAATATCTTATATACTGCAGTGTTGAAATACAGGCAGAATAAGAGAAAGATGTATGCTGGCCTCCCGTCTGTGTGTAATTACTTGAGACCCATCTATTTAACACATGTTTCGGACCACAGGCTGCCAGTGTTTCCAATATGGCAACCTTTGGCATTTACGTCCCTTGTATAGGGCAATCAATATTTGTGCCCAAGCTTGGAGACCGAAATTACTTTATTTTTTTTGTAAGCTCCATGATTCATAGCATGCTACAGGTCCTCCGTTACTCCAAACCACTGCCTCCTATACACTAATTCAATAAGAAGCTCGGCACATTTTACACAACTCAGCAACCCGTCTGTCGATTTACTCCCTGTACAGTATACATATTAGGCCACTATATGATTACCCTAAATATCATTTGGTACACATGTGATATCGTTAATTTTAGCTGGATATTGGCATTGGTTCTTCCTTATCCAGTGGCATAATTATACATCCTATCAACTCAACATCTTATAGACTGGAAATCTATTGGCCTTATTTCAGTTATGATAATAATTCTTTCAGAATGGCTTGTAGGGAAGGTGAAAAACAAGTAAGGTGGAAAAACATTTACCTTTTAAGCACATATCTGACAACTAGAACATGGTTATAAGACATAAATGTCCATGCTATGACAAGAATTCCACAGAAGTGGATGTGTCACCTGCCCAGCAAGGTTTCTGGAGAGGAGTTTTATATATTCATTGTATTAATTCCATTTATATAGTTTGTCTATTTGTTTGAGATGTGATGAGTAAACTTGCAGATTAGATGTATAGTGTCAAAGGGAACAGAGTCCTGATGATAGAGTTTCCTTATTCATACAACATAATGTTTTTATTTTCACTCAAATTCTTAAAGAAAGTTAGATATGAAAATGTTAATTTGCACTAATTTCCATGTACAGTGTATATGTATAATATTTGTAATAAGAAGATGAGTATTTGCAATCCCAAGCAAGCAATTTTGGTAAGAAAACACTGTATGAAGTTTGAGGTTAATCAAACAGAGGGTACTAAGTTAGTGTGAAATTTTTTTTTCTATTAATAATTACAGTGACCTTGACCTTGACCTTTGACCATTGGACTAAACAAGCAATCCTAAGCAAGCACTTTTATTAGGGCACTGTGTTAAGTTTGAGTTTGATCAGCAAAAGTAAACTTAAGTTATCACAAAAACACTCCTTTTTTGTGGATGACAGCAACACTGACACCGCCAACATAATAATACCTATGTCGCCTTTGGCTGGCAGGCTACATAAAAACCAGAATCTAATCAGGTTTGTCAGGTAAATATGCCCACAAACCCCCTTTTCCATCATCACCAAAGTAACACCGTGAGAAAAGTTTGGACGGATTATTATTGTTTTATTTGAATCTTACACAATACGAAGTTTTCCTGCTCCACAGAGACTCCAAGTAAATCTAAATCCTGTATATAGAATGATGGTCAGTGTGATTACCATGTAATAAGTTCTGAAAAAGTCATCAGTATTTTTGTGTTATTTGAAACATTTATAGTTAAAAGTTACCAGTTTTGCAATACTTATTACATATAATACTACACTAAAGGCTCTGTATTGTTTATGTATCTATCTCAGTAATCGTGCATAAGTATCCAAAAATCAGCAATAATTTATATAATTATCTGATAAATATCACTACATCATAGCTGGCTGCATGCTGATCATGACCACCGATCATGAAACAAATATCACTTGTACATGTATTCATGTTGATAATTGTTAAACACGAGGACAGGTCAAAGGACAGGAATGGTAATTCACAGCACAGTTAGAAAATCGTGCTATTGCTGATATGCATGTGAATGATAGATTTAAACACACAAATAGACTTCCATTTTGGTGCAAATGACACATTTCCCCAGACATCTAATAGTCAGGCCAAAATTTGGGTCAAATTTCCAATTAGTGAAAAACAACTTATACAATAAAATATGACATCATCAAATTGTCCTTTTGGTATAAACCTGAGGACGGGTATTAACGTAACCTAATTCTTGTCATTTATCCCAATCTCTATGGTTGGATTATCCATCCAGTACAATTCAGTCATTGAAATTTGTTTTCACAGCAATATATATCCATGTATGGCATATCTACATGATGAAGTGGAAAGAAAAAGACATATGACGTCAAATAAATTGTGACATAATACAGCAACAAAAGACTTGCTTCCTTTCATTCTCTTTGTGTTCAAATTTAGTCTTTTTATGGTACTAACAAATGATGTCAGGTAACTAATTAGGCTGTGATAGTTCATCTGTGCACATGGATTTCTTGGATAACCAGGGATGGAAAACCCAAGACATGTTCATTAATCACCATCTAGTCCCTCGGGACATACTGTAAATCATGTGGGTTTTGTGTGGTGTTCATTTTCGCGCTAACATGACGAGATCCAACCGTGGGTTAAAATCTCTAACAATTATTTTTTCTCTTGACTTTGTACGAATCTCTCAACGACATCCTTGTTATTCCATAGATAATTTACTTTTACTTCCTTTTGAACTTCCGCTGAATTGACATACCTTACATTTTCACAAACAAATCTGTTCGACATATATCACTTTCAAATCATGTTTTTGCCACAATATCTGTAGAAATGAGTAAGTGAAATGAGGTATCCATGAAATCTAAGTGACTTACACAAATTGTCTTCATGAGTCTTGATTCATAAAAATGTAAGATATAGTGTGCATGTATCACTTGGTTCACAAATAGAATCTCAACTGTTTCCATTTTCAGGACGAAAGTCTTACATGTTCGGAGTCATACCAGTCTGTAAACCCTTGTAAAATAAGTGTATCTGTGTCTTTGTCTTGCTATAACCAGGTGATGAGACTCAAATCCTTTTCTTTAAAGAGTGGATGGGATGGAAGTTACATCACTTGAGACTATGAAACAGTCTTAGTAGCAGGATTAAGTTCAACTATTCATGCCCTACCAGCAAATGTGTGTATGAATGGTTGTCAGAGCAATATCAATGTTAAATTATCAGATTTTTAACAGCTCTGGTTTTACAGTTACCTTGTTTTTGTCCGAGATAAAATGTAAGCCATGCAGATGTTCAATATCTAAATGGTGATTTGCGACCACTGTATAGTACGATATTTAGAAATTTCAATAACATATGGTTTCTGTGACTTTAAAACATCATGAAGCTATCAACTGTTGTGTGGATACAGGATAAATCTGTCCCATAAGACTTATGCTTCATAATTGACCATAGTATGGCCATGCCAACATAGAAATATTTGATTTGTCAGAAGATCTTCACTTTAAGAACAACTTGTTACATAAAGTTTTTAATTTTTTTTTTTAATTTGGAAACAGACTCTTTTGTATACAAAATATACTACACAAAGCATGTTAAAAAGAAAAGAATCTGCTTAAAAACAACCATTAAGTTTTTGTTGGACTATCATAAACTATATATCAATAGTTACAACAAACAGAACTCAGATGTTATCATCAATGTGTGAAATGTACAGCTGTTGTCTAGCATTGTGTAAACAGAAAAAGTTTGATCAAGATGATACCTACCTTTGAATTAAGATATTTTTCAAACACTTCGGTGGCCTTGGTAGGTCTTTTTTCATCCGGTGCAACTTCATAATCATTCTAATGAAATAGATAAAGGTAAGAAAATCTGTAATTAATGAAATGTAACAAAATGTTGAGGAATTCAATACAAAACTACACTCACAATAAAAACAGTATTACAAACAAACAGCACAATGACTGTTAAGTAAATATCCCAACAAATTTTTTTCAAATTGGAAACTGCAATCCTCAAATATTGGTACTGGATTTAACCTAATTATAGCTAACTTGATACAATTTCTTTTTTAATAAAGGGCAAATCTAATTATTTGATATACACAAATCCATGGGTTCACATGTTTTACGATTTTGCCATGGGTGTAATCAATCTATCAACTGCCATGCTTTCTTTTTTTTTTCTACTTTTATGCAAATCAAACTGATTCACTTAAACAGCAGAAAAGGTTAACATGTACAACAATATGAAGATATTACAGCCAAATTTTGAAACTCCTTTCCTATTACAACATATTTATTCACACTCCCTTTCAATGTTGATGTAGATTTTATATTCACGGTAATTTAAGAACTTCTCTACAAGAAATTTGTATGATTACTAACAGAACTTCTTTCAAAGGTAACAAATTACTTTAAAAAAAAGTGTTCAAAGATAAAGAAATACTGCACTGCCAAGTATCAGCAACGATTAAAGAAATGAAAATATTTTCTACCGTTAAGTCAAGTAGTAACCCAAAAATTTCTCAATACCCAGATCACCTGCCAATACGCCCATGTGTGCTGGTATTCAACCTAAATCATCACGTTCATTCAGAACAGTTTTGCCAACATCTTGTCAAATAATATGTGGTCATGGCCTTTTAAATCAAGGGGTGACCGCAGGGTGTTTGAAATTGGTCATCAAGTAAAACGACTACATCATCAATTTTATTATACTGTTATCAAATCTGTTGTCATTGAGATGATATCTGTAATGTTTCAACATTATTTTGACTATTATATCCAAAACTTGTCTTTAAAGCTTTTAAAAACTGATCAAAGATGAAATATTTGATGATTGCAACATTACTTATGACTGAGCTGGTCATGATATGGTCAATATATCAGGATGACGTGAAGGAATCAGGCAAGTTGGCAACACTGTCAGAGGTTGTATTGGCCTATTACTAGAGACCCTCATGATGTGTAGTTCTATATAAAATATTCACATTCTTATCACAGAGCATCAATAGAAATGATTTAAGACTTCTTACTAATGAACAAGTTTCCACCACACTGAAAATAAGTTTCAATGTCGGATATGAAAAACTGATCTTAATTCCCCATAATTATATAACAAAAGCTACTGAAAGGCCAAAAGGCCGTTACAGTGGACATAAAACCCAATTATGATCAACTAATTATCAAAAAAAAAAATAGTAAAAGTTTTCCTCGACTGATCTTGTGTCACATAACAGGATTGAGAAATATACAAGATGTGTTGACTTCAACTTCTGAAATTTTACTGTAGGTAATGGATTGGCAGCTTTTTAAATAAAAGGTTGAAAGAATATTTACTGGACCGGTGTAGTGTTATTATGTATAGGCTGATTCTTAAATACAAAACAGCTCCCATAGTTTTACAAGGCTACATTGGTCTGTCATTCCTTTTGTAGCAGGAACCATTACAGCATTACCTTTATGCTAAATCTCATTAAGAGGATTCTTAAAAGCTAGATAATGATAGTCAAATGATTTATGACATAAGCTGAGTTTCATAAGAGGGATGTTTTCAGCGATCTGAGTCACGATGATACATTTTTGGTCGTAACACTTCACGATATCAATACTTTACCAGTATTGTTCCAGTTTAATGAGCCAAAAACAATGTGACTGTGTTAACAATCTATCTGTAGTCCTTAATCACCAAACCCTGCTTGAATAGAATATAAGGATTCAATTGACATTTGTGAACCTCCAAAAAATGACAGATCAAATCAACATGTATGATAAACATACTGTGTTGGAGCATGTACACCATAAAAACTTATTTCAACTTTAAATTAAATAAAAAATAATTCTTTCAAAACTTAAACATTTTATATGCATGTGTACAACGAAGGTTATGTATGTATTTTTTTTACATTCTTCCATTGCAAGCTTGATCATTCAAAATGTGTCGATAACATTTAATAGTTATTAAATTATAACATCAAAGATAGTATAATAGTATCTCGGACAGTTGCCAATTTTTTTTTTTTTTTAATTGAAGTTGACCCTATCATATTTAACTGTATATGTGTGTCTGACACTGACATTTTGGACACCCTGACTTCAAATCTAAACCTTTGGCACTAATTTGAACACTGAGATATTTCGTACACAACTACTTATTAGAAGAAAACATGACTTCTGTGATGGCTAATGTGTCCAGTGCTGTGAGGAAAGGAGGATTTCACTCAAAAGTTCACTCAGGAACCTCTTTATTTTCATTTTTGTAAGTAGTATTGTTTGACCTAATTAACCTCCATTTATACTAACAACAATTCTACATTTCTTTGAAGCAATTACAGACAATTCAAAAATGCTAATAATTATCAGGCATTTAAAGCTATGCCTCAAGCATTTATCTAGAAAATCCCTCCCTCTTGTCTATTTTATAGTATATCCAATATATGCTTTAAAAGACAATTTTTCCTTCAAGCCATCCTTGAAATTAACTGTTTTGAATTAACTGACCAACAAATCCTTAGAGAACTTGAGTTAGTAGGTAGGGAAAATAACTTTACATAATTGGCGAAAAAAAAAAATGAAATAACAGTGCAAAATTTTTAATCTGTTTTTTGAGGCAGGTCACAAATCATAGTTATTTGATTTAGTAATATAACAAACATTATATGACTTTTTGAAAGAAAACAATAATATGCAAAACTGGAATAGAAGCTTCCAATAATTAAATCAAAGCACTGAAACTGAAAGGCTAAACATGTTGATAATATACATATTTGTAACTTTAACAACAATCAAACACATTTATAGAAGATAACTATCAACAACCATATTGAAAATTTTGAAAACATTTTCAATCAAGTCAGTGAAATTGGGCAATTCACTGAAACAATATCCAAGTTCCATATTGCGAGATTGTCACTGGCATTGGTATTGTATATTGAGCCCAGAACACCATTAAAACTTGACAACTGATCATAAATGGTTCCTTTTAGTTACAGTGTTTGATTACACAGAACTTCAATTCTAGGTACTGTTAGTCCTTTCGATCCATGTTCAATATGCACTTGAAGATGTCAATTTTTTCCCCACAATTATCATTTGAAAGCCGACCTAAGGGTGGGTCACTTATTTCCTTCACTTTAAATTGGGAATTTTGTTCATTTTCTCACATTATCACTGTATGTTATATATGATGCTTGTGAAAGTGTGTATAAAGTTTTTTGACATCAAAGTAGTTTTTGAACTTCTTACAGTGACAAACATGATTCATCCAAAAAATTTAATTGCTCATTCTACCAGTGACCATGCCTGAATAACACTTGTCTTCCAGATGATGTAAGTTCAATCAGGAAACTTAAGTCATATATGCTTCTATCACCACAGGAATCAGATATTCACACGTATGATTCCTGTGCACTGCTTTAACGAAAATATCATGCACACAGGAAAACCCAATGTCAAGGGTACATGGATACTGCAAACATGTTAAATGGATGGACAAGCTATGAAAATATTGGTTTTGAATCTAACTCAATCACAAGAGTCTGAAGATAATACAATTTCATCAGAGGCAACTCATAGTAGAATCAATATCTTATGCTATGTCCTGTCTTTTTGATTGGTTAATTACTATACAAGAAGGTTCCCATCTAGGTAATTTCCTTACATAGATAATGTTTCAGTTATTACATTATGGCATTCTAAAGATTGCACCTTGTACAGTAATATTTAAACACTAAAAGCGTACTTCATGCTATGGCAGAGATGCATGAAATTTTACACTAGATATAAATAAACAATAGATTAAAATGTTATTTTTTCAAATTCTAATCATTTGAAACGTTTTGAATGAATCTTCAGATCCATGCTTGTAACCCTGACCTGTGAAAGAAGTAAACATTTCTGAAGTGTATTAGAATTTAGTGGCAAATTCTACATAATATCTTACAGATATATACCAGATATTTCAATCGTTCTACAAAGTGCTGCATGAATATGAAACAAAACATTTATCAACCAGATACCAAGAGCCTTAAACATAAATGTTAAGCAATACACATTCGGCAAAGTTTGACCTTGCCGTTGATATAGGATTTTACTAGTTTTGGCTTGTCTTCCAATCCCCAATAGACTGAATTTTTATTATCTATTGAACAAAGGTTCTTAAAATACTCCTTAAATAAAGTCAACTAATGCAGAATATTATGTGATGTGGAATAGAAAACCAGAAACATATATGTGTTATATACATCTATAACTACAGACATAAAATGATGTTAGGATGAATTCTTTCTTGTAATTGATTTTATTCCTCATTAAATCAACATAAAACGACTCTTAAAACAAGATGACGCTGTTCTCAAGTGTGATACATAATACAAGTGTACAGTCGGCGATCAAAGAAAATTTATCTCTCTGTAACTCAACCAATTTTACAAATATCAACATGAAATTTGGTACAAGGATGTATCAAGATTACATCAACAATTTATCTTTTGATGTCGCTAACTTCTTTTAAATATTTTAAACAACAGCGTCTGCAGACACATCAGGATTACCACTGCTATTTGTATATAATGTACACATGTATGTCAGGCTGTTGAATTCCCTCGAGTAAAATCGTCATTTTCCTATTTCTGAAACTGAAACCTACTATATTGTTGTACCATAATCATATAAAGTACATATTGTTTAACGTTACCAACTTCATTTAGTATTTACAAAGTGTCACTATCTTTATATTGAAACAGATATTTTCTGAAGAGACTTTATGACTCTCTCTGTCGCTGATTGTCACTTGTTGATGATTTTTAGACAGACCGCTAGGAATAGCTGGCAGTACTAGCAAT